TGGATCGGAAGAGGACCAGCCGGGACTCAAACTGGCACCCATATGTGATACCTGTGCTTCAGGCCAGGACTTTAACCCACTGTGACACAGCACCAGCCCAGTGTTTTATCTTTTCAAAACAACCTGAGAGGGCCAGCACTGTGGCATAGCAGTCTAAGCCGCAGCCTGCAGTGCCAGCATCCTATATGGGCACCTTTCTCTCCGTCTCTTCCTCTCTCTCTCTGTAACTCTACCTCTCAAATAAAAATAAATAAAATTAAAAAGAACCCTGAGACTCAATATAAATAGATATACAATTACATGCATACTAAATTTTTAGATTTATAAGAGCCACATAAGTATTTGGGAAGTTTGTCAGACAATTGAAATATTTAACTAAAATTATAAATAAGGCCCAATATTAATCAAAGACTTCTTAAAGCAACTGTTAAAAGTAGCTGTAACATTTGTCAGACTTATAAATTAATAATATGATTTATAATTGAAGTTAAAAGTTTAAGAAGAAAATTACTTTAAATTTTAACCTTAATAAATCAAACATTAATTTAATCTCCTCAAGTAAAATTTTCCTGAGTCATTCTCAAGGATACACTAAAACATTTTCATTGACATGAATGGATCAAGAGTTCATCAATGAGAGATAATAACTTCATTGAAAAGGAACGAAATGCTACTATGATGTATGTGTGGGCGGTCTCTTTTGCTTTGTTTTTCTATTTAATTCACATTTCTAAAACTGAATTTGAATGCTGACATATTTTAAGTAATGAACTGTGAAGAGACATATTTTTTGTTGTTGTTTTTTGAATACTACACTACACAGAGCAGAACTGTCCAAAAATGGCTCAGAGAACTCACAGTGGGTTTCCCAGGCTAGTAACAGCTCCTTCTCCCAGCCGACAGTGCAGCCGCCGAACTCAGCTAGCCACAAACTGGTGGTTTCTTCTTCCCTAACAGGAGAGTAACCATTTCCCATGAGCCTCAAGATCTCAAGGAAGGGCTGAATCTTGGTTTTTGTGGGGCCTGATATTTATACATGTCTCTTTCTGCTATCCCTTCATTCTTGTTTCTAAAATAAGTCCTTTATTTATTTATTTATTTATTTATTTATTTGATAGATAGAGTTAGACAGTGAGAGAGAGAGAGAGAGAGAGAGAGAGAGAGAGAGAGAAAGGTCTGCCTTCCATTGGTTCACCCCCCAAATGGCCGCTACACAAATCCGAAGCCAGGAGACAGGTGCTTCTTCCTGGTCTCCCATGCGGGTGCAGGGGCCCAAGCACTTGGGCCATCCTCCACTGCCCTCCCAGGCCACAGCAGAGAGCTGGACTGGAAGAGGAGCACTGGGACTAGAACCCGGCACCCATACGGGATGCCAGCACCGCAGGCGGAGGATTAACCAAGTGAGCCACGGCACCGGCCCCCAAATAAGTCCTTTTTAAAAAAAAAAAAAAAGTTTATTTATTTATTTGAAAGCAGAGCAACAGAGATTTCCATTTGATGGTTCACACTCAAAATGTTCCCAATGGCTGGGGCTGGGTCAGGCTGAAGCTAGGAGCCTGCAATTCCATTTGAGTCTACCAAATAGGTGGCAGGGGCCCAAGCACTTGGACTGGCTTCCCTTGCTCTCTCAGGTGAATTAACAGGGAGCTGGATCTGAAACAGAGCAGCTGCACTCCAATACAGGATGCTGGCATCACAAGCAGTGGCTTAACGTGCTGTACTACAGTGCCAGCCCCTGTCCATGCTTCCCTAGGCAATGCAGAGATTCCAAGGTGAACAATTTCCCTGCTTTGTAAGTATCATGATCTAGTATCAAAGATAAGACTGTTTTAAAATTTTTACTGTAAGCACTATGAAATCAGCATTTAGATAGTATCTGAAGCCCAGGGAGTGATGGATCCTGACCTATATACAATGTAGACAGAAGAGGACCTACAGCGCTTTGTAGATATATATTGATGGAAGAATATTCCAAGCAGGAGAAGCAAGCCTAAGTCCAAGAGACTGAATTTGCTTACAGTGTGTAAGCAACAGGAGGAAGACCAGTAGAGTCAGCATGGATTGAATAAGGGGGAAAACAGTAAGAAAGAAAGATAGAGAGAATGATAGGTCTAAGAGTCAAAGGGATCACATAAACAAGACTAGTGTCTGCTAATACTAACTGATAGAATTAAAAAGGGAGAGAATGATCCAACATGGGAAGCGGGATACACAGCAGACTCATAGAATAGCAGATGTCCTAAACAGCACTCTGGCCTCAGAATCAGCCCTTAAGGCATTCGGATCTGGCTGAAGAGTATTTTAGGCATGGAAAGCCAAGACACTCTGGCAAAAAACAAACAAGCAAACAAACAAAAACTAAATGAAAGATCTCTGTGAGTGAGATCTCAGTGGAAAGAATAGACCATCAAAGAAGGGAGGAGAGAACTTCTACTTTGACTATGATACTATGACCTTGTCTAAGCAAGATTGGAGTCAGCGAACTCAAAAGGCTTCCATAGCCTTGGCAACTCATGACTAGAGCCTAGGGAGATTATGGACGCCATAAATGAGAGTGTCAAATTGTTAAGTCAACAACAGGAGTCACTGTGCACTTATTCCTCATGTAGGATCTCTGTCCTTAATGTGTTGTTCAATGTGAATTAATGATATAACTAATATTCAAACTGTATTTTACATTTTGTGTTTCTGTGTGGGTGTAAACTGTTGAAATCTTTACTTAATATATACTAAATTGATCTTCTGTATATAAAGATAATTGAAAATGAATCTTGATGCGAATAGAATGGGAGAGGGAGAGGGAGCGGGAGATGGGAGGGTTGCAGGTGGGAGGGAAGTTATGGAGGGGAAAAAGCCATTGTAATCCATAAGCTGTACTTTGGAAATTTATATTTATTACATAAAAGTTAAAAAAAATGAAAGAAAGTTAGATCTTGGGAAGGGGCCCATAAAATTAACCCTTATAGGCAGACTGGCTGTAATAGGCATTGTTACAAACTTAGCTGTGTCCCTCCAAAATCCATAGGTTGAAGCCCTAACTTTCTGTATGATTGCATTTGGATGTAGGGCCTTTAAGGAAGTAATTAAGGTTGAATGTGGTCATAAGGGCGGGGCCCTAACCTTGTAGGACTCGTGTCCTTATAAGAAGAGGAAGAAATACCAGCTGTGTGGCCACACAGAGGAAAGGCCTTATGAGAACACAGCAAGAAAGAGGTTGTTTGTAAGCCAGCAAGAGAGGCCTCCCCAGAGATCAATTTGGCTAGCATCTTAATCTTGAGAAAATGTCTGTTGTTTAGGCACCCACATCTGTGGTAATCTGTATGGCAGACCAGGGAGAGGAGTACAGCTTGTCTAGTGGAATGTCATTGTGGGTTTAATTTACATTTCTTAAGGGATTGATGACATTCAACATCTTTTCATGTGCCTAATTGCCATCTTTAACTCATTTTGTGAACTATGGGTTTATACAGAATTCTGAATATTACATAACAAAACCAACCCTAAGTACATTTGTGCTCCACAGATTTCATAATTTGGGTCATTTTTTTCATTTTGTTTTAAAGATTTATTTATTTATTTGACAGGCAGAGTGACAGAGAGAAAGAGAAAGAGAGGAAGAGAAAGAGAGAGAGAGAGAGAGATCCTCTATCCACTGGTCCACTCTCCAAATGCCCACAACAGCAGGAGTTGGCCAGGATGAAGCCAGGGGCCAAAAACTCCATTTAAGTCTTCTATATGGGTGGCAGGAAGCCAAGAATTGGGCCCATCACCTACTGCCTCTCAGGATGCATTAGCTGAGATGGATGAGATGCCTGGAGTAGCTGGGACTTGAACCAGCACTCCAGTATGGGGTACAGGAGTCCTAAGTGGTGGCTCAACCTGCTGCACCACAGTGCTTGCTCCAAGATCAGTTTGAATGATCTTCGTAGCAACTATGTCTCAAGCCTGAAAGATTTTGAAACAGAATTTACAATAGATATTTTACCTTAGACTGAATGACCTTCCAAAAATTTTGTTTTGATTTGATGAATTGGATGGAAAAAACCTATTATTGAAATGGACTGATTTTCTTTTTGGAGCATCCGATAACACTGGCATAAAGAACAGGGATTATTTAACTGTCTGCAAAGTCTCTCCTACTAACAGAGCCAGCTCCTTTACAACTTTTGATGAACTTTTCCTCAGTACATAATAAAACTTTCAATAAAAATCAGCGAAATTCACTGAGGCAGTCATTTGATCTGATCCGCAATTATACGGCACAAAGTAATGAGTAAGCATATTTAATACATCTGCACTTGTTAAATTCTTGTTTCTGGGCACAGTCTTTTAAAAACAAGCACTCAGGGCCAGTGCTGTAGTGCAGTGGGTTAACGCCCTGGCCTGAAGCGCTGGCATCCCATATGGGTGCTGGTTCTGGCCCCAACTGCTCCACTTCGAATTCAGTTCTCTGCTATGGCCTGGGAAAGCAGCAGAAGATGGCCCAAGTCCTTGGGCCCCTGCACCCATGTGGGAGACCCAGAAGCAGCTCCTGGCTCCTGGCTTCAGATCAGTGCAGCTCTGGCTGTTGTGGCCAATTGGGGAGTGAACCAGCAGATGGAAGACCTCTCTCTCTGCCTCTCCTCTCTCTGTGTAACTCTGAATTTCAAATAAATAAATAAATCTTGAAAAAAAAAAAAAAAGAAAACAAGCACTCAAGCAAGACTTTGACACAGAGACTTGTGGGATGCCTGCGTCTCATATCAGTTCAAGTCGTGGCTCTGCTTCCAATTTCAGCTTCCTGCTAACGTACTCTGAGACAGCAGGGGATGACTCAAGTACCTGGGTCCTTGCCATACACACAGGAGACCTGTACTGAGTCCTAGGATCCTTGCTTTGGCCTGTCCCAACAATGGCTATTGAGGGTATGTGGGGCATGAACCAGCAAATTGAAGATCCCTCTCTACCCGTCTCTTTCAAATAAATAACTTTTAAAATATTGACCAAATAAAAATACTCACTTTTGCAGCAAATTCCAGTGTTTCTTGATCTGATTTGTGCCTCCTAGACAATCAATAGTCAGTGACATCACTGTAATCCCCATGGTAGATGTACATAGTGGCAAACATGTTGTGGTTATACTTCCACCATTAATCTTCTGAAGAAACGGAAACAAGTACTTAGTTTTTCATTAAACATTTATGTTGGGGCCAGCATTGTGGTATAAGGTGTTAAGCTGCAGCATGAAATGCTGGCATCCCACATGAGCTCCGGTTCAAGCCCTGGCTGTTCCACTTCTGATCCATCTCCCTGCTAATATACCTGGGAAAGCAGGGGAGGAAGGCCCAAGCCCTTGAGCCCCTGCACCCACATGGGAGCCAAGAGACCTTGGCTCCTGCTTTTGGACTTGCCCCCGACCTAGTCATTGCAGCCATTTGGGGAGTGAACCAGAACATGGAAGATATCTCTGTGTGCCTCTCCCTCTCTCTGTATAATGCTGCCTTTAAAATAAATCTTTAAAAACATGCGTGACATGGGTTGACTTGTGCTCCCCTAAAGTTCATATATGTTGAGGTCTTAGCCTCCTGTATGTCAAAATATCAACTTATTTGGGAATATAAACTTATTTTGAAGATTTAGGCCATACTAGAAAGGCCATACTAGAAAGGGTGAAGAGGCCATACTAGAAAGGGTGCAGCCGTAAACCAAAGTGACTGGTGTCCTTCTACAAAGGGGGCAACCTGGACACAGACATACACACAAGGAGAATGCCAGGTGAAGATGAAGGCAGAGACTGGGGTGATGCTTCTATAAACTGGGGAACATCACAGATTGCCAGAATTATGGGGAGACGCATGAAACAGCTTTTCTTTCACAGTCCTCGCAAGGAACCAATTCACTGCCACCTGAAGAGGACTTCTAGCCTCCAGAAACAGGCAACATTAAACTTCTGTTGTTCAGGTTACTCAGTTTGTGGGTACATTGTTAAGGCAGCCCTAGCAGAAGAATACAATGTATTTTCGTCTTTAAAATTTCCTTGTTACCAAAAGGGCTTATTATAAAACAAAATGCATTACTAAGCAATGAGATAAATAAATAATTATATAAGGATTCTTTTGAAAGTTCATGGAAAATGGAATTTAAAAATAAGTTGGCCGGCACCGCGGCTCACTAGGCTAATCCTCTGCCTGTGGCGCCGGTACTCTGGGTTCTAGTCCTGGTTACTCCTCTTCCAGTCCAGCTCTCTGCTGTGGCCATGGAGTGCAGTGGAGGATGGCCCAAGTGCTTGGGCCCTGCACCTGCATGGGAGACCAGGAGAAGCACCTGGCTTCTGGCTTCAGATCGGTGCAGCGCGCCAGCCGTAGCAGCCATTTGGGGGGTGAAACAACAGAAGGAAGACCTTTCTCTGTTGTCTCTCTCTCTCACTGTCTAACTCTGCCTGTCAAAAAAAAAAAAAAAAAGAAAAAAAGAAAAAGTTAAAGAGACCTGCATTGTGGTGCAGCAGGTTAAGCTGCTGCCTGTAATGTTGCAATCCCATGTGAGCACCAGTTCAGGTTCTTCCACTTCTGACCCAGCTTTCTGCTCAAGTGCCTGGGAAAGTGGTGGAAGATGGCCAAGAAATTGGGCCCCTGCCACCCAAATGGGAAACCCAGATAGAGTTCCAGGCTCTTGGCTTTTGTCTGCCTCAGCCCTTGTTATTCTAGCTATTTGAGGAGTGAACCAGACTTTTCTGTCTCTGCCTCTCTATCTGTAACTCTGCCTTTCCAATAAATAAATCTTTGTTTTACTTTTTAAAAGTTAAGTAAGGGGTGTTTGGCACAGCAGTTAAGACATCACTTGAGATGCCCACATCCCACATTGACGTGCTAGAGTTTGAGTCCTGCCTCCACATCTGATTCTACCTTCCTGTTAATCTACACTCTGGAAAGCAGTAGGTAACGGCTCGAGTGGGAAATCCAGATGGAGTTCCTGATACCCAGCTTTGACCTGGCCCAGTTTCAGCTGTTGCAGGCAACTGGGGAGTGACTCAGCAGGTGGAAGATCCGTTTCTTTTTTCTCTACCTTTCAAATAAAATAAAAATACATAAATAATTGTTCCTTAAAGGAGAAATTTATTTTGGTGCAAAGTTATTTTGAAATACATGTGTATTTTTTTTCATGTTATGTATTTTCCCTGAGTTTTTGAAGGTTCATACATGTGAATGATGACAATAAATGACGAAACTACTGTAGCAGAAGTTTGCAGGCCTGCAATATGATCTTTGCAGGGCTACGTGACCCTTTTTCCTGCATGAGCCTCCTGTGCTTTTAACTAATGGCCTCTCATGTTTCTCACTGATCTCCAGGGACTGATAAACTGGATCAATATTTGCATCTTGAAGGCTGAAGCATGGACCAGAAAGAGATCGTGGTACAACTGGCTCATGAACTAAGCGGCTGGAGGGGATACTTGTGTGGAATACTTCTCTCCCATTGCCATCTGGGACCAAACGCAGCTGATCTTAGCTACTTGAGTCCAACTGCCTTTTTTTTTTTTTTTTTTTTTTTAGCAAGCTCCCTGAACACTATCTTCAAAAGGAAGTATTAGTTATTGTATAACTGGCAAGGGTTGGGAAGAGAGATAAGCTATCACTGATCATATTTAAGATTTAACATGTGTTTAGCTGAGTTCTCTGTTAAGTGCACTTATACCTCATACAACACTAGAAGAGACCAAGACAGAAACTGGAAGTACAAAGTGGTGGCTTACCGCACATATCTCAGATTATGATAAGGCAACAATTGCATTATAATACCTTATTTAAAATCATTAATACTTAATTTAAAATGACAAATGCAGGACGATGCTAATGTGAACAGGATATCCAGGCAATCATCAAAAATAGCAACTGTTCTGACAAAAGTAGGCCCTATGTTCACCTGCTTCATAAGCCTTTCCCATAGACCACTTCAGTAGGGGTCCAGGTGAATCATGCTACCTTGTATCCATGCCAGCTGTATGGGAAGTACATTTGTCATGCACAGCCTTTTTTTTTTTTTTTTTTAACTAAAATGTGCAGTGTTACAAATTAAACCACCATTGTTTCCAGGCTGTATATGAATCTCCTGTTGCTGCATTGACCTAAAATATAGCAAAGTTTTCTAATTTATAGGCTTATATTGGTTGTCAATTTCTTCTTTGCTTTTTCTCTCAGTAAAGTTTTCCTCAATCACTACTGATTTTTTTAAATAAAATTTTTATTTATTTGAAAGCACGGAGACAAAGAGATCTTCCATCTACTGGTTCACTTTCCAAACGGCCACAAGGAAAGTTAGATGAGAAGGGGAGGTGCCAAGACTCAGCTGGCCCCTTGCAGACTTGGGTTAAGGGTGTCTAAAGTGTCAGCTTAACCTGCTGCACCACAATACGCACTCCTCTGCACATTGTTTTTGTTTGTTTGTTTTGTTTTGCTTTTAAGATTTATTTGTTTGAAAAGTAGCGTTACAGAGATATGGGCAGTGAGAGATCTTTCATCCACCAGTTCACTCCCTCAAATGGCTGTAAAGACCAGGCTGGCCCAGGCCAAAGCCAGAAGCCTAGAATTCTATCTGGGTCTTCCACAATAGTGGCAGCAGCCGAAGGTCTTGGGCCATCTTCTGCTGCTTTCTCAGGATCATTATCAGAGAGCTGGATGGAAAGTGGAGCAGCCAGGCCTTGAACCTCTGCCCATATGGGATGCCTGAATTGCAGGCAATAGCTTAACCCTCCTTACCACAATGCTGGTCCCTCTGTATATTTTTAAACAACTGTATTGAGATACAACTGCCATACAAAATGAAGCATATATTCAACGTGTACAACTTGATGGGTTCGGAGATAAATACGTAACCATGAAATCACCACCACAAACCTATCCATTATCTCCAACATTTTCCTCCTGCATAGTATTTACTACTGTTATTATTTTTGATAAGAACACATAGATTTATCATCTTAGCAGATTTTTATATGCAGTACACTATTGCTAAGTATAGGCACTATGCTAAACAGTAGATCTCTAGGACTGATTCATCATTTATAAACAACATTTTGTATACTTCAACAGGCATCTCCCCATCTCCCCTACTCCTCAGATTCTGGAAATCACTGTTTTTCTATGAGCTTGATTATTTCGATTGATTTTATAAGTGATATCAGGTAGTAATGTCTTTCTGCGCTTAGTTTATTTCACTTAACATAATGTTCCCCAGGTTCAACCATGTTGTTAAAAATTGCAAAAATTGCCAGCACTGTGGCTCACTTGGCTAATCCTCCGCCTGTGGTGCTGGCACCCCAAGTTCTAGGCCCGGTTAGGGCACCGGATTCTGTCCCAGTTGCTCCTCTTCCAGTCCAGCTCTCTGCTGTGGCCTGGGAGTACAGTGGAGGATGGCCCAAGTCCTTGGACCCTGCACCCGCATAGGAGACCAGGAGGAGGCACCTGGCTCCTGGCTTTGGATCAGCGCAGCGTGCTGGCCGTAGCGGCCACTTGGGGGGTGAACCAACGGAAAAAGGAAGACCTTTCTCTCTGTCTCTGTCTCTCTCTCTCTCTCTCTAACTCTGCCTGTCAAAAAAAAAATTTCAAAAATTTTCTTCTTTTCTAAGGCCAAATAATATTCCATTATATATATATGTATGTATACATATTCATATATATCTTTTTTTTTTATCCATTCTTCTGATAGGCAGTTAGGTTCCTCTCACGTCTTGGCTATTGTGAAAAATTTTGCCATGACATTCAAGTACTGATATCTTTTAAATCACTGATTTTATTTCTTTTCTATAAACATCCAGAAATGGGATTGCTGGATTATATAGTAGGTTTATGTTTTAATTTTTGACAAACTTCTATATTGTTTTCCCTAATGGCTGTGCTAACTTACATTCACACTAACTGTGTACTAGAGTTCCCACTTCTCACATCCTCACAAACAGTTGTCACCTTTCATCTTTTCAATAATAGTCATTATGAGAGATATGAAGTTATAGTTCACTGAGGCTTAAATTTGTAGTTCCTTAACAGTTAGTGATGTTGACCACTTTGTCAATGACTTCTTGGCCATTTGCACATCTTCTTTGTAGAAATGTTTATTCAGTTCCTTTGCCCATTTTGAATCTAGTTGATTAACCTTTATCATTGA